CAGACAAGCCCACTCACGTGTCTCAAAAAGGCAGCAGCTTCACCAGACACGTAGTCCGGCGGGATCATCGGACACTCTGTGATGGACTTCCCTAGGTCTCCCAACGTGCGACCAGTAAACGGTAGCTGTATGAAAACAGTAAATACTTTTGATGTATTTGAGGCTCATATTTAAGATTAGCCACAAAAGAAATTCGGCACTGTTAATCTCATTAACAGATGGGACTATTGTTAGCATCACTGACAGGTGGGACTGTCGTTAGCATCACTGACAGGTGGGACTATCGTTAGCATCACTAACAGATGGGACTATCGTTAGCATCACTAACAGATGGGACTATCGTTAGCATCACTAACAGATGGGACTACCGTTAGCATCACTAACAGATGGGACTACCGTTAGCATCACTAACAGATGGGACTACCGTTAGCATCACTAACAGATGGTACTATCGTTAGCATCACTAACAGATGGGACTACCGTTAGCATCACTGACAGATGGGACTACCGTTAGCATCACTAACAGATGGGACTACCGTTAGCATCACTAACAGATGGGACTACCGTTAGCATCACTAACAGATGGGACTACCGTTAGCATCACTGACAGATGGGACTACCGTTAGCATCACTGACAGATGGGACTACCGTTAGCATCACTAACAGATGGGACTACCGTTAGCATCACTAACAGATGGTACTATCGTTAGCATCACTAACAGATGGGACTACCGTTAGCATCACTGACAGATGGGACTACCGTTAGCATCACTAACAGATGGGACTACCGTTAGCATCACTAACAGATGGGACTACCGTTAGCATCACTAACAGATGGGACTACCGTTAGCATCACTGACAGATGGGACTACCGTTAGCATCACTAACAGATGGGACTACCGTTAGCATCACTGACAGATGGGACTACCGTTAGCATCACTAACAGATGGTACTATCGTTAGCATCACTAACAGATGGGACTACCGTTAGCATCACTGACAGATGGGAACTGTCGTTAGCATCACTAACAGATGGGACTATCGTTAGCATCACTGACTCTGGCAGTTTAAAGGATTGCTGAAGACTGAGATGATCAGCCATGACGTGGATGCGGAAAACAAGGGGAGACTATCACAATATATATCCATAGAAACTAAACGGAATCCGACAAACGTTGACATCCTAAAAGATCTGAACAGGAAAAGGAGAACTGGCTCATAAACAGCATCGTCATGTCCAGAAAGCTGGGTTATTGTGGCCGCTTGACGTCCTGGCAACCTGCAGAGAGCTGGGTTATTTTGGCCGCTTCACGTCCTGGCAACCTGCAGAGAGCTGGGTTATTTTTGCCGCTTCACGTCCTGGCAACCTGCAGAGAGCTGGGTTATTTTGGCCGCTTCACGTCCTGGCAAACTGCAGAGAACTGAGTTATTTTGGCCGCTTCACGTCCTGGCAACCTGCAGAGAGCTGAGTTATTTTGGCCGCTTCACGTCCTGGCAACCTGCAGAGAGCTGGGTTATTTTGGCAGCTTCACGTCCTGGCAACCTGCAGAGAGCTGGGTTATTTTGGCAGCTTCACGTCCTGGCAACCTGCAGAGAGCTGGGTTATTTTGGCAGCTTCACGTCCTGGCAACATCCAGAGAGCTGGGTTATTTTGGCCGCTTCACGTCCTGGCAACCTGCAGAGAGCTGGGTTATTTTGGCAGCTTCTCGTCCTGGCAACCTGCAGAGAGCTGGGTTATTTTGGCAGCTTCACGTCCTGGCAATCTGCAGAGAGCTGAGTTATTTTGGCCGCTTCACGTCCTGGCAACCTGCAGAGAACTGGGTTATTGTGGTTTCTTGACGTCCTGGCAACCTGCAGAGAGCTGGGTTATTTTGGCCGCTTCACGTCCTGGCAACCTGCAGAGAGCTGGGTTATTGTTGCCGCTTCACGTCCTGGCAACCTGCAGAGAGCTGGGTTATTTTGGCCGCTTGACGTCCTGGCAACCTGCAGAGAACTGGGTTATTGTGGCAGCTTGACGTCCTGGCAACCTGCAGAGAACTGGGTTATTTTGGCAGCTTCACGTCCTGGTAACCTGCAGAGAACTGGGTTATTTTGGCAGCTTCACGTCCTGGCAACCTGCAGAGAGCTGGGTTATTTTGGCAGCTTCACGTCCTGGCAACCTCCAGAGAGCTGGGTTATTTTGGCCGCTTCACGTCCTGGCAACCTGCAGAGAGCTGGGTTATTTTGGCAGCTTCTCGTCCTGTCAACCTGCAGAGAGCTGGGTTATTTTGGCAGCTTCACGTCCTGGCAATCTGCAGAGAGCTGAGTTATTTTGGCCGCTTCACGTCCTGGCAACCTGCAGAGAACTGGATTATTGTGGCCGCTTGACGTCCTGGCAACCTGCAGAGAGCTGGGTTATTTTGGCCGCTTCACGTCCTGGCAACCTGCAGAGAGCTGGGTTATTGTTGCCGCTTCACGTCCTGGCAACCTGCAGAGAGTTGGGTTATTTTGGCCGCTTGACGTCCTGGCAACCTGCAGAGAACTGGGTTATTGTGGCAGCTTGACGTCCTGGCAACCTGCAGAGAACTGGGTTATTTTGGCAGCTTCACGTCCTGGTAACCTGCAGAGAACTGGGTTATTGTGGCCGCTTGACGTCCTGGCAACCTGCAGAGAACGGTGGTCGAGGGTACAGTTTTCGAAAAACGAGGCAGAGGATGACCTTGACGAATGTAGATAAGGTCATTGAGGATGCCTTGGCTATGAAATCATCTAGGACTGGAGAATTGGCTAGAGAGATAGACGAGAGCGACGTTCTGTAGAGTACATGCTGGCTGATGATGATGATGGTGTGCTACCGTTTAAGTAATTAAACGATGATCATCCCCGAACAAAGTATCCATCCTGGGTGACGTGCCGTTATTGTGCAAGCACATGATTGTCGTCAACCAGTGGCCAGCTTGTTTCTCATCTGAGCACAATGTAGTCATATATTCTAAACAACCATTATCATGTAGCAGGTCTTTTGTAGAACGTCGCTCTCATCACTGTATGCCTGAAAGAAACTCGGCCTTTCGCCAGCTCCCCCCGCCTCATGCACTTTCCCCCAAAAAATGAGTCACATATATTCTGTGCCCATCTTCGTCCTGGTCGGCCCCTACCCCTCTTTCCTGGTACCATGCCTTCTACTATTATTAGTTTTTCGTAACCGCTTGATATGAGAAATATATGTCAGCTTCCGCGACTGTATACTAGTCAATCTTCCCTGATGTTCAGATAGTTTCTTACATCAGTATTTCTATTAATCTTTGTCCGTGTTATTCTGAGAATCTGTATTTGGTATTTAATCTCAAAAGACATCTTTTATTCTTAACACTGGCCGAATTCTCCAAATAAATGGATTTCTGTGCTGAATAGGATAAAGAAAACATGCTCCGAGAAGCAAAGGGGGCCCGGGCGATATTGATCACATCACCTCTCAAGTATCGATATATTTATTCAAATATGCGTCTAACTCCATGCGGTCACTAGCCCTCTAACGTGCCTTTATACTTTAAAAATATTATTAAATTATTATAAAAATACATTTAAACGTTATAAGATAGATGTGGCTTTCGTAATTTCCTGTTAAGTAAAAAAGTAAAAATCCCTTTCCACGCCTTTAGGCGTATCGGGCATATGGGAAGAGCACCCATATTTTTACAGACCATCAGCACTCGGTGGGTAATCTGGTCAGCATTACGCCGGCTGTCTTTGCTTTCCCAGGACAGCCCATCCTGGTACTAATTCTAGGCTTGGTCGACCTGCGACGTCCACGATATAAATCCATGCAGCCCGCAGTGGGTTTCGATCTCGGTACGTTGGATTGCGAGTCAGACTCGCAACGCATTAGCCACGGACGCCGCATTCATGTTGCCGGATTCTAATCGAGGTGCATGCGACTTCGTAGCAGACCGCCTTACGTCTTTTTCGACAGTAATATTGAGAACCAAGGGTTGGGGGTAATGCCACACTACTGAAGGTAATATTGCCTAGTGAAATCACAAACACCATAAAATGTTGGGGTTGATTCAGCTTCGGCCTGCAAAATGTTGTCCAACCAAATTTAATATTATAGTATAATAGCTTTAACTAATATGCGTAGATTATTGTACAAAGTGAGAAAAAATAATTGACTAACTGACTTTTTACCCACCAGGACATCACACAAGCGATAAACATCCGATGACACAAAGTGCCGTCATGTGGATGAGGATCATCGTAGAGAGGTCCCAGAAACCGCGTTCAGCCATAAGGCCATATTTATGGCCTGGCTATATTGCGGCCCCCGGCAAGAGCCAGGGTGGGGCTTCAAATAAGGAAAAATGTCATCCTAAAAAGGACGGTGAACATAGGATATGAGATTGTATCGCATTGCATTACAACGCAATAAAGAATAATTTTCTATGCGATAAAGAATAATTTTCTATCTCGGACAAGAAAGTAACAAACAGAAGAAACCAAATTTATGACTGATATTTGTGATAATCTGAGCATCTTGACCAGCATAAAATAGTTTTAAACGTTACCTCGCCAGTCATCAGTTGATAGAGAATGACACCAACTGACCACCAGTCTGCAGAAAACTGGACGTCCACACCAAACACGACCTGATTGTGTGGGGGGAAAAAAAACAACAGATGGACGCAGAATTATAAGAATGCCTGCACACGGGATGTAACTCATTGTTAACTTAAGATATTCTTTGCTGTCTATATTACATTGGTTATGTCCCCTGAACGACAGTACATTAGCATATATATATATATATTGTTCTTGAGTATTCGCATTGTATTACTGTTTACAGCTAGGCTGTGATATCTTCATTTTTTGACCCAACACATTCGAATTGAAAAAAAAAAAAAAAACTAATTATTCACCTTTTACGGCATGCTTGTTAAGATACCCTTAGATTGGTCTCTATAAGTATAAGTCCAGCCATATATTTCCAATGCGCCTGCATACGTGCACAAGGGTCCTGCTAACATACACCGCATGTATTTTTAAATACTGTCTTTTTAATTTGTTTCCAAATATTGGCGTTCCTAGTTTGAACATCACCGACTGTGGAGTTAGTGCAACATGTACTGATATAGTGCGTCTTGTCAAGGGAATTGTTGTCCACATCACAATCACATTCAAATTCCACTGGTTAAATTACTGAGCATCAAGAATTGACATCATCAATTGTTGAACTATAATCGAATGTCTGCCGCCTTCAGGGAACACGTGCTCAACCAAAAATACTGTTTCTTCAATAGTTAACACCAATATAGCTAAGATCAATTTCTAAAAAACGGTCTGTAGCAGTGATATTCTAAACTAACGGTTACATGGCGCTTGAAACATGAAACAAATTTAACAACGGTGCGCAGATAACTGATTTAAAAATGTCTACAGTCAACAAACAAACACTCTAAATAACAATACTTGCCGCCTTTAATTAGAATGTCTTTTAGAAATATTGCGTTAGGTGTTGTGAACGTTCTGAGGCCACTGTGAACAAGCCACAGTGGTCAGAGCGCTTCCTTGTCGGTCTAGTGGTTAGAGGTTCAAATCCCCATCTAGAAAACTGTTAGAATATGTGGTGCACAGCTGGAGTGAGAATCAGATGTACACAAATGTCGTAATTGTAACTGACTCACAGAGTATGTTTAGAAAGGTGGAGACAGGCATGCTCCCTGCAGAGTGGCCAGCATCTCGCAGAGGACCCCCGGGCAGTTAACGTCCTATGGATATTTTCTCCAGGTAATGGCGGTATTTTGGAAAAGGAGCAGAATGATAGACTGGCTGGTTCGACACCACCTGGTGGTGAATTGATGTATGACAAGGTAGATGTTGTGAGTTCCCTCTGGGAGCGAGTGAACAGTGCGGACGCACAAATAAATCATTACGGTCTGAGGAGAATGGCGCTGCAGGGAGTTACTAGGGAATCTGGCAGACGCTCAACACTCAAGGGAAAGGTGAGACGGATATTCAGTCAGACAGTTAGTGGAACCATCATAATTGGAACTTTCCGCTTCCTGCGGATGATGAGGACGGAGCACTTATGGGAGTGTCCCGAGCGCTATGGTGTGGATTCCTAATTTAACATTCAACATTAGAATAACCGGTCTGACATAGTATAACATGGATGCCTGCAAATTCCCGTGTGAAAAAAGGCGGTCACAATATTCCTGGCACATTCCTTGTCTTGTACCAGTTGTGGATAAAAGTATCGGGTTGGCACCATTTATTCATCACTCCAAGAGATTCACCGGGTATTGAATTGTAATTTTTATTCACGGACAAAGAAATAGAGGAGAAATATGAGGAAGGGAGAGTAAGAGAGAGAGAGAGAGAGAGGGAGGGAGAGAGAGAGAGAGAGGGAGAGAGAAGAGAAGAGAGTGAGGAGAAGGGGACTGTAAAAGACAGAAAGTGTGGGGGAGAATAAGATAGAGAAAGATGGGGTGAATAGATAGACAAACAGAGAGAGAGAGAGAGAGAGAGAGAGAGAGTGTGTGTGTGTGAGAGAGAGAGAGAGAGAGAGAGAGAGAGAGGCGGCAGGAGAGAGAGAATATTTTTGCTATTGCATGCGAACTTATTATTGATGCATTCATTTGAAGAATAAGAGGCATCACCAACTATACCATTAACATTTTTTGTCCAAGTATTTGATGACCATAATAAATCAGCCAGTCATCATCATCATCCTCATATCCACCACCATCACCACCCCCACACCCACCATCACGATCCTCCCAATCAACAGCATCGGCATCACCACCATCACCAATACGACCATCATCATCATCATCCTTCTGAACGCGCAACTCATTTTCCACACTAGGTGTTTCTCACCTCAGGCGAGGCATAGAACTGGTCACCGCAGTTCTTGACCAGCATGTTACACGACTGACCACAGTCCAGGTTCTGCTCACACAGGCAGTAGGGCAGCAGCTTCAGGTGACCAGTGTTGTCTATGACCAGGTTGCACAAGCACAGACGTCTGTGTCAGTGACAGACAGCAATGTCATGTCATATGGTCATATAATCATACCAGGTGAGAATGTCATGTCATATGGTCATATAATCATTCCAGGTGAGAATGTCATGTCATATGGTCATATAATCATTCCAGGTGAGAATGTCATGTCAGGTGGTCATATAATCATTCCAGGTGAGAATGTCATGTCAGGTGGTCATATAATCATTCCAGGTGAGAATGCCATGTCAGGTGGTCATATAATCATTCCAGGTGAGAATGTCATGTCAGGTGGTCATATAATCATTCCAGGTGAGAATGTCATGTCAGGTGGTCATATAATCATTCCAGGTGAGAATGTCAGGTGGTCATATAATCATTCCAGGTGAGAATGTCAGGTGGTCATATAATCATTCCAGGTGAGAATGTCATGTCAGGTGGTCATATAATCATTCCAGGTGAGAATGTCATGTCAGGTGGTCATATAATCATTCCAGGTGAGAATGTCATGTCAATTAAAAA